CGGGGCCGGGAGCCGGCACCGGCAGCAGACCAAGAGCACGCAGCACACCAGCATGGCCAACGGCGTGGCCAGTGGCATTGCCAATGGCATGGCCAATGGCATGGTCAATGGCACAGGTGAGAGAGCTGGTGGGGCTCCTGTGGGGGAAAATGCATTTCTGCTAAGATCATACAATGGTTTGGAAGGGATCTTAAAGATCATCTAGTTCCAACCCCCTGCCAAGGGTTGGACACCTTCCACTAGACCAGGTTGGTCTTGTGGTGCCTGGGAAAATTTCCTCCCTGGGAATTGATTGATTTTCACTGATTTTACTTTTGATAAGCTGGGCAGCTCTGCAGAGCGCCCTGGCAGGATCTGTTCTGCCTTTCGTGCATGATCTCTGTGGCTCCTCTCTGGAGTCTCCTTGTCAAAAAAGGCTGCATCCAGCTCCAGGTTTTCAGAAGGATACTGGGACAGCAGTATCGCTGGTGCTACAGTAAGTGAATCTTTTTCAGGGTTGGGAGCATTCAGCTGAATTTGCCCGTCAGTCTTCAGTGGAAATGTTTTGAGCTCTTTGCCCTCTGAAGTGGGGAGAGCAGCTCTCTCTGGAGCACCAGAGCAGGCACAAACCCACCCCTCAATAGGGGGCTGGTTCTTACACCAGGGGATATTTTTTGAAAGGTTTCTCTGTCTTTTCTTGGTTTTGTCTACAAAGCCATAAAACCCTTAAGGAGCAAGGACTGGGACCTGCCGAGTGCCTGACTGCAAAGCCACAAGCAGCTTGTCTGTTTTCTTTCTCTGGCTCTCATGGAGCCAGCCAAGCAGTGCAGCGTCTCCTGCTCCTCTGCACTGCTGCTGCAGGTAGCGCTGTCTTTTCTTTTCCTTTTGTTGGTAGCACTGTCCTTTCTTTCCCTTTTGTCCTGGAAAAGAGCAGGACAAAGTGGAGTGCTTCATTTTGGACAGAAGGAAATGCTTTGTTCAACCCAAAAGGAAGATTTTTATTATTTAATTCTGTTTCACTGGAAAAACCTGAACCAATATAATTTCAGTTTTGCCAAACCCTATTTTGTGGGGGTGGGGGGGAGCAGAAGGCTGATGTGAAATGCTGCCTTTCAGCTCTTACTGCTGGTCCTGCTCCCCTCCCCAGGCTGTGGCTGGTCTGTGTGGTTTGGTGCACTGCTGTACCGGGTGTCAATGTGTTGTTCTGTCCCCTGTGCCCACCCGGCCCTTCCCGGTGTCCTCGCTGTGCAGGGGACACTCCCTCAGGCTGTGGACAGAGTTTTTGTGTTTTTGTTCCTGGGTACAACTTGGCTCCTTGGCTTTGGTTTTAAAACATGTTTAACTGGCCCAGCCCCAGCCTCCCCAGTGGCTTTATGAGTGTGCTGTCCTGGTCGCTGTTTACCACTCACCCAACCTCCGTGTCTCCCACAAGTCCTGTTGGTGATGATTTTACACTGGTGGATGGGAAGACGAGTGTTTTGGGTGGCTGGGATTAATTCTGACACCCTTCCTTGTGCTCTGTTGGAATGCCTCTAGAAACCAACCTCTTCCTCCTCAGCTTGGTACGTTTGGGTGATGTTATCATGTATTTTGAGCAGACTGTTGCAAGAATGTTCCCCATTGTATTTGTCACTTACAGCTGTAATTGTCATCGGACAATAAAAGGAGATTATTTCATGGCATGTTTTCTCCACAACCATGTTGCTTAGCCCTAGCTGTGTTCCACTGGAGCGTTTCCTTATCAGGTGAACTTTGGATCAGCTTTTCCCCTGCTTTGTCCAGGACTGAGATCAAACCAATCACAGTGTAGTTACCTGAGTCATTCTGCAGGTTCCTAGAATGGCACAATGTGATTGAAGCTTCTAAAATTGCCCTTTCTAAGGCTTCCTAGAAATGAGTAGCAGTTGGAGACCCCTCAGCTCAGTCTTGCAGGACTCTAGTGGAAGTTGCTGTGAGCCTGCTGACCTGAAGTCTTCATTGCCTGTGGGTGCTGCCTGAGGGGCTCCTTTAATTGCTGATGTTCCAGGTTTTAGAACCAGGATTTCTCTGGTGCTGCAGGATGCTGTCCTGCTACCCTCCAGCTGCGAAGAAGAAGTGTCCTGAGCAGTCTACCTCTTCTGCAGGGTGTTTGTGGTCCTTTAGTCCCCTGTCTGTGGGATTTAGACTGTTTTGAGGCTTTTTCCTGCAATACTTCTAAATACTTGGGCTTGTAGACACAGATACTTCTCTTAGTTTTCTGTGTTTCTCAGGTCTAACTTGTGGCGCTCTGTCTGCATGCCTTACTTCATTATTAATTGTTTCTGGTTTGTTTCTAATGCTTTCATTTTGTCACTGAAGCCAGACTGTTTTGTGTTGAAAGTTATCTTCTGCTGGACTGCCAAGATTCGGGGAGTTTGGCTGTCTAACAAATGTTTGTCAAACAAATTGCCTTTCATTTTCTTTTGTCTACATTTTTCTCCTTATCAGTTTGCTTTGTAATTTTCCTTTGCTCTGTCTCTTCCCTGTCCCTTTTCCAAAAGCTCAGTGGAATCCAGCAACATTTAGCTCTTAGCAGTGCGGGTGACTTGCTGAGCCTGGGCTCCTCTGTGCCTGGGAGGATGCTGCCCCAGCAGTTTCTGAGCTCCTACTTGTTACCTGAATTCCCATCAGGCACGCAGTGTGTTTGCAAGTTACAGAAGAGATACTGAGCTTTTTTCTTGGTGCAAAGGCAGTTGGTAGTGGTTCCCAGAGGGATCCAACTGCTGGGTGAAGGAGGTGCTGCCACTGCTGCAGGCTGGGAGCACTGCGAGTCCTGTGTTTGGGTGGTAGTGGCTGTCATCCACCGGGGCTCTAGTTCCAGGGCTCTGTGGGTGCAGTAGGTCAGTGAGGCCCCCATCACCCTTCCTGGGTGCTGACATCTCTACTTTCTGCTTTTCCAGTGAACGGAGACGCAATGGGTGCTGCAGACATTGAAGAGGAAAGGCCAGTAGCAGGAGCAACCCCAGCAGCTTCGAGCATGACTGATGGCTCGGTCACTCCTGCCCTTTCTGCCTTGGTCAGTTCTGGAGAGGCAGAGGAGGCAGCCTCCAGCTCCAGTGCCCCACCAGCCCGGGCAGCAGTGCTAGCGCTGGATGCTCTGCCCCCTGGGTAAGCTCTGCCTTCTGCTTTATTTTTGTTCCCTTGAAGGGGCTAGCTGGGGGGGACATGAGCAAACTGGGGCACTGCTAAGCGCTGGAAGAAGAGGATGTTTGAGGGAAGGGGCTGTGCTGCACCAGGAGCTGTTGAAAACGATGGTCCTGAGGGTGCCTGCTGGGGATCCCTGCTTGCCTGGCAGAGCCTGTTCTACCTCATCGGAGCCCACTGCCTGGGGCTTCACTTGTGAAACCCTCCTCTGGGCTGGGGTCTGATCTGTGTCTCTTGTGGGTCTTGGGTAACATACCGTGATTTGCATCTCTGCAGCATGGTGTCCATGCCCAAGGGAGCAGCAGAGTCCTTCCTCTGCTCTCGTGGGACTTCTGAAGGAATCAGTCAGAAGACAATGCATGAGAGGGTCAGTGTGGACTTCAGGGAGTGCACACGAAGCAGGAGCACAGGAACATGTACCACAGAGATGCTGTGGAGATGCTGGCTGCTGCTGGGGGGAGGTGGGCATGACCCTGACATAGCTGTGCCCATTGTTCTTCCTGGTGTGGATGCTCTGCATCCTCCTTTTGTCGTGAGGAAGGAGCCAGAAGGAGAGCTCTGGCTGGCTGAGCAGTGTTGGTGGGTGCGCTGGCTGTTGGTGGGGCTGCAGTCAGGCTCTGGGCTCAGCTCCTCTGTGCTGCAGCTGGGTTGTTCCCTTGTAATTCACGCACCTTTAATTCTGGACTGAGAACGCAAAGTGGTGGTGGTGGTGGTGGGGCTGAAAATGGTTTGTGTTTCGTATGAAGGGAGCTGTTTATTTTCCTTTGGCTGAGGCGATGCCTGGAAGGTCAGGGCCTTGCTCGTGTGTCAGTCACAGGTAATTAGGGTTAACGGCTCAGTGTGTCTTTATGCAGGGTGTGTGAGGGTTTCTGTTCTCCAGCCTGGGCGCTTCCTGTTTCCAGGCAGCTGGAAAAGTCCAGCACTCTGAAAAAGGTCTTTATTCCAGCCAGAGCTTGTGCCCCTTTCTGCTACTACAGGGTAGACTGAAGGTCTCCTTTCCCCCACCTTTGCACAGCCCGAGGTGGAAACAGGCTGTTGTTTCTTTCCTGGGGTGGAGAGGAGCCCACGGGTATCTCAGTTTTGGGGTTTCCGAGGCTCAGGAAGGTTGCAAGCACGGCTTTCTGAGACACCAATGTGCGTTTATCTGGCCCAGCCAGGTGGAAGAGTGGCCCGTGTCCTCCGTGTGCCTGTCTCCCTGCAGTGCTCACACACGTTCTGCATGTCAGAGTAGGGAGGAGGATAAAGCTGTTGTGCTATAGGAGATAGTTGGAGGGGAGCAATGAAGGTTCTGAGCCATCCTCCAGGCTGAGCTTAAGGAATTTAGATCTCTGGAGACACCTTTGATTAGCGCCATGTGTATCAGTTCCTCCCTGTCCTGGCCATAGGATCTGTAGGGTGGAAAGAAAGCAAAATCCCTCTTGCATGTGCTGTTTAAACTCTGTGCTAAATCTGGGCTGGCTTGGGTAGCAGCTGACCTGCTCCGTCAGGCAGAGACCACGTACCAAGGTCTTCCCAGGTGAAGGAGAGTGGGGAATTGAGGACTCCACGGTGCGAGCTCTGCCCTGAGCTGCCAGACCAGGTTCTGGGCTAACAGAGATTTGCTAAACAGGGACTGTACAAAGCACTCTGGCCCTGGGGTGGTGTAAATGAGTTTCTGGGGATCTCTTGAGACTTAATCTAGGGCAGCTGATTTTTGGATGGCTTATGGCACCAGGGTATTACTTTGACTAGTGGTTTGGGGCCCATCTTGGGAGATGGGGCTGTGGCTGGCTGGGCTGGTGGAGGCAGCGATGTCTCAGGCAGAAGGGACGCTGACAAACCCAGGCCACCTCAGCTCTGGCAGCAGCGTACTCTGCAGAAACCCTTGCGGGATAGTCCCTTGCTGGCCTGGCTCCCAGGGGATGGCGGTGCACAGAGCATTGCAAAGCCCATGAGTGATCGTTCCTGCCCTGCCGCTCGCAGGAGCAACATCTCCTGCAGAGCTGCCAGTCACTCCAGTGCTGAAGAGCTGGAAAGCTGTCATGTCCCTCCTGGTTTCTGTGTGAGCTCTGCCTTGTTCTGCCAGTGTCTCCTTTCATCCGTGGGTGCATGGGCAGCACTTCAGCCTCTGCAGGGGAGGCAGCTTTTCCCACTGTGTGCTGGTGGGTGTGCTGAGCCCCAGCCTCCCTGCTTGTGCCAGGCTGCATGCAGATGGAGCTGAGAGTGGCTGGGTTCATGTGGGGATTCAGAGCTGTTTATTCTGCTCAGATAGCTGTCTCTGAACATCTGTACCAGATGTGGCGGGCACAAAGGCATCTCTCACACAACTGGGAGTCTGTTCTAGGGGCTGGGGGGTGCTGGAAGGTGTTGTGAATAATTCCAGCCCCAACAGTGCCCAGAACTTCCTTCACATCCTCCTAGCTTGGGCAGAGCTTTCTTGAGGAGCTGGGGAGTGCATGTGGCACAGGAGCTGCCGGTTGCAGTGCCCAGGGCCTTTGGTGCAGGTCCTTTTTCTCATGTAGGGGCTTCTGAGCAGAGTGATAGTGACAGGGGGCAGGGCAGGAGAGGCACTGGCTCCTCATCTGGTTCCTATCAGTGATGATCCTGTGCGGGGACAGCCGCCGTTAGCTCGGTGTGTATACACAGCGCTGTCTCGCCCGTACAAAGAGGTACATTATGCTGCCTGGCAGAAGGCATAGGGCTGTGGTTTCTTACATAAGGAGGGCGTTTTGTTTGGACTGCAGGGTTGCCTCAGCACCGCCACTTCGCACCGTCCATTGCTCCCAGTGTCCATGGCTAGAGCCCTGTGGGCAGCCGGAGGGGAGCAAGTGGGGACCAACACATCGCACGATCTGTGCTTGCAGCAGCGGTGATGTGGTGAGAGCTCCCACCATATAGTGCTTGTTCCAGCACTGATCTTCCTTGCTGGTGGCCATGTGGCAGCAGGCACGGGGCAGGAATGTTGGCTGGACTTGGGGTCCCCAGAGGAAAAGCCTGTGGTTGTGCATGTCTCCAGCTGTCCCTTGCAGGATGCAGGGAAGCTCAAAAAGGCTGAAGCCTGCCAAGACTGGGCAAGGTGGTCGGAGCAAGGATGGGTGTCCCCCATTGCCCCAGTCTCAGGCTGTTGCTTTGTGTCAGCGATGACAACAGCTCATCATGTTCAATGGTGGTAATTTGCTGTTCATAGGGTGAGGCAACCTTCAGCAGATTTACTTCCCGATCACCAGGGAGCTGCTGACCTGAGGAGCGTGCGAGCTTGTCGAGCTTGTTGCCTGTTTGTATAGGGTGTGAGATAGGGGCAGAGGATGCCAATCAGTAGCTGCCACCACCACCAGCTTTCCCCAGTCCTGTGTGGCTCTTTGCAGTCACAGGGGCACCCAGAGGAATACCTGAGGGGGATCCAGAAACCCTCTGCCCTGGAGGAGTCCTTATTGTGGGATTTCTGGTCTCTAGAGAAGACACAGAAATGGTACCTGGTGGCTTGAGAGCGTCTTGTCATAAAGGACTTGAAAGTCTTGAGAGTCATATTGATCACAGAACCTGTTGTTAATGAGTCTGGAGGACCTGTCCCCTCCAGTAACAGCTGCTGGCACCCCCAGTTCTGTGTGCACAAGGCTGAGGTCCTGTTCATCTCTGAAGCACCGTATGTCAGTGTGGGCAGAACTGTGGGACGCTGGGGTGGGGTTGTCCTTGCTGTAAGCAGGTGGTGCTGGAGCCTCTAAATCCATCTGGAGGAGGCTGTTATACAAAGCCAACCTTGGAAAGGTGATGCTTGAAGTGATCTAAGGATCCCTTAAAGGGATGCTGACTCCTGCAGAGCCTCATGAGAGGAGTTGTGCCTTGGGGTTTTGTTTGTGAACAGTGTTCATCCACATGTGCCTCGTGCTGACTCTGTATCTGGTTGCTGGTGGCAATCTGAAGTGCCTGCAGTGTGAGTCTGGGAAGGGGCTCTGCCTGTGGTGGGCCACATTCCCACTGAACGAGGACACTTTCTTAGCCCTGCCTTCTCCCTGAAGATGCCTGTGGACCTTCTGCTGTCTATCTCCTGGGGTGGACACGTTTGTATCTTCAAGAAGTCCCAGCTATGCTGATTTTCTGTTTAGAGATTTTAATCTTTTTTGCTGTCTGGTACTTTTATGCTTGTGAAGCACCGAGTTCATCCCTAGTGAACAGGAAGCTTCAGGCATTTCCCCTCTGACAATGCCCAGCACTGCCCAGGGTAACCCAGGAAAAGGGCTGACCCTGGGGTGGAGAGACAAAGACTTCCTGATGCCAGAGCAGCACTGTGTAGTGCTGGCTCTGCTCTCACTTGGTCGCTCTTTTGGGTGGTGTTATGCTTGGCAGTGCCTCACTGTCAAAGGTGTATGGGCACTGCAGCTCCTGCCTTGGACTCTTTCTATCAGAAAGCACCACTGGTGTCCCTAGATGGATGAGAAAGACCCAGTGCTGCTGACTGGTAGCAACATCTGCACATGTTACCTAGTCTCTGCAAATGCGTTGACAGGGCTTTTGAGAAGCCCATAGGAGTGAAGCCAGCAGCTCTGATTTGAGTTAGACAATCTCTTGGCTAAATCCCAGGCCTGGCATTCATGTTCCCTTCCTACTTTCGTGGAACTGACTCTTATCTTGGAGTGCAAGTGTGCCTTCTGCCCAGGGCAGGGGTTTCCAGGCTGCCTGTGTGGCCACTGGACTGCTGTGGTTCCCACTGCCTGGGCTTGGGAACACTGTGGAAGCTCTTCTGTTTCTGCCTTCTCACCACTTTTGAGAGCTGTGACGAGGCTGCAATGTGCACGATCTGTGGTTGTGGCTGAGGTCACTGTTTGGTGGCTTCGTGTCCCCTGTGGAGTTTTGAGGGTGAGCAGGGTTGGTGCGAGCCTGGGGGATGGGACACAGGTTCTTACAGCATCTCCTTCACAAGGCCTGCTTTCTACAAGCCCATGTTTCTTTCCTTGCTGTCACAACAAAAGCTGGTATATTAATTTTCTTTAGCTTTTTGTGATGATATATTGAGACTGGAGGTTGAATCAGGAGGGATACCTGGGGGAGCAGAAGCATGGCAGGATAACATTGGATCTGTCAGCAGCTGCCAGCTCACCTCTCTGTTGCAGCATAAAAGCTGACAGAAAAGCTCAGTGCTTCATGGAGCTTTTACCTTTGCCAGGGCATACACTTTCATGAATGAGTGAAGGCAAAGCATGGTTTCAGTGCAGCCCTGTAAAGCCAGGCCTCCCAATCGTACCAGCTCCCCTAAGGGACCAACTCCCGACCAAGTTCCTTGTGGCTGTGTGATGCCTTTGAGCAATATCGGTCAGCAATGAGCGGGAGGATGGCCAAGGGGAAAATTCAGCCCCAGCCCAACCTCAAAGGCTCCCCTTTAAAGATGTATTAGGAGAAGCCAAATGAAAACGACATCAAAAGCTCACAGGGCATAACATTGACCTGTGTGTAATCTTATGCCGACCCTCCTACTTTCTGGAGGAAATGAGGAATTTATGCTTCAAATGATGCCTGTTTCCAGAAAGCAGGCTGCTGCAGCATCTCTCTGCTCATCTTGATCTAGCAAGCCAAACAACTGCCATGTAGACCTGCTCTCATTCTACATTTTAAATAAAGGTTAGAATGCTGTGGCTGAGCAATGTGAGGAGGTGGGTTTGCTAATCCACCAGCTGCAGCTGCCTGGACATTCTCGGTAATAACATGGTTATTAATTATTCACAATCACTGATCTGGGGAGGAGGCTGTACTTGCTGTACGGATGCAAGTGGATGGGCACATGTGCAAACAGCTTTGCTAGGGAGGCTTTTTGGACAAGATTTAAAGTAGATGAAGGGGTCTGTGATGTCTCTTAGTAGATGATGGCAGCAAGACTCTGGCTCTGGCTGCCCTTGAAGATGGAGGGGCTGCGGCTGCTGGATCCATATTGCTTGTTCCAGTTGAACCCTTCGCTTATATCTGTTTAGGAGAGAACAGGCGCCACCTCGTCTGCCTTGGGTTTGCTCCACGTCCTCTCCCAAGGGGTGCTGCCCTCCCGCACTGGCCTTGGAGCAGGGGACAGGCATCTGGGGACCCTGGAGTGGGATGCAGTCACTCTGGATGGCATTGCAGAGAGCGATTTGTTTTGATAGCTCCCCCTCAGTGTTTGGGCTCTGGGCTTGCAACGACCAACTGGCTCATCATTGTTTTCCTTCTTGCAGGTGGGAACAGAGAGAGCTGCCTAATGGTAGAGTCTACTATGTAGACCATAACAACAAGACCACCACATGGGAGAGACCTCTTCCTCCAGGGTAAGGGGCTCTGGGGGCAGTTGGCATCTCAGATACTCAACTAACTTCTTGTAGCAGTCACACAGGAGTCTGCACAAAAGGGAGAAGGTGGCAGGAAAGTCTCTTAATTTCTAAAAAGAAATGGGGTGAGATGACCAAGTGTTTACTGGCCTGAAAACACATGCTGTATCCTCAGAAAGGTCTTTTCAGCATTTGTAAAAAGGAAAAGGCCTCCCAATCTGTTGGGTTTTGACCTTTGTTGGAGGATTTTTTTTTTTAACAATTAACAGAAATTGCTGAACACTTGAGCAGCAGAACAACCACTTGCGGACAGAGCAGAGGGGTGGGCCTTTGGGATGGGATGCCAGTAACGTCCCCCAGAGGATGAGGAGAAGAGAGGGAGTGGGCCTCATGTCCCCTGGATGCTTCTAGATGAGGGCTGTGCTCCTGGTGAGCAGATACAGGCATGCTCAGTGTGCTCTGACCTGGAGCTGGACCCTGGACTCTCTCAGAGGGGCCTCTTGCGTTCTCAGCCAAACTGGGGTCTGCTTGTGCTTGAGAAGACAATGCTGCTCAGCTCCATGAGACCTGCAGGAAGCACTCTTCAGAACTAATGTCCAGGAGGGCCATGCTTTCATTTGCAGGAGTAAACAGTCTTCAGGTCATAACGGCTGTATGCAGCCATGTGCTTTTCAGAAGCTTGTTGAATTCTCACCTCTTTGTGCTCCTAAATGCAGAGAACTCAATACAGCAAAACTGTTGTTGTTCTCTAGACTGAGTTTGTTCAAGGCTGGAATGGCTGAAGTGTGCCTTAACCACCAGTGTAACGTGTGAAATACAAACCTGTTCTGTTCTCCTCCAGGTTCCTGTGGGCACGCTACTTTCAGTTAAGCTGTGATCTCTACATCTGCTTTCTGATCCTACAACAGCTTTAAATTTGTTTGGTATTAAAAGAGGGAGGCTGTTACCTGGTAAAGTAGGTTTGGGAGTACTGCAAGTGTGCTCCTTCCCTCCTGCACGGGTCTCCAGCCCAGTGCCTTGCCTGTGTTGGAGGTCAGCAGCCTTGGAGGAATGCTTACAGCATCCTGGTGTGAACTCAGCTAGTGTGTAGGTATGCTATCTAGGCTCCATGTGCCCTCGCACAAGTCTTACTAGTATTTTATATTTTCTTCTGGTGGATCTTTGTCCAAAAGAGCCCATTTGGCAGCGAAACTGGTGGTTATGTTGCAACTGGGAACAGAGGCTTCATGTTAAAGGGTATCTCGTCTTGTGAGAGGAGCCAGAGCAAGTGTCTGAAATCAGCCTGTAGTGTCAAAGCACAATGAAAAATCAATCTCCATAGCTGGACCTCTGGGCCCAGGCAGCTCTTGGGTCTTCTTCCCTTGGAGGACTATGAGCTGCTTTTCTCACGTGTACTTCCAAGGGGCAGAACTCAGCCATGAATCCTCTGCTGAGCCCCTGCATGGGGAACCTGGGGGGAGCGTGGCAGCTGGGGAAGTGGCTTGTAACCCCACGCTCTTCTCAGTTGTACTTTCAGCATGTTCTGGGGAAGCAGCTGGATGTTCTCAAACTGCTGGGGCGCCAAGGGCATCTGGAGCCCCAAGGGCATCCGGACCCCCAGGAGCAGCCTTCAGACAAGGACAGTGGGAGGTTCCTCTGCCTACCACCGTCATCTGTGTCGTCTTTTGTGCCTCCCCACCTCTTCAAGGGTTCTTTTTGTTGCCTTCACACCAGCATTTGCACTCAGTTGCTGTGTGGCAGCGCCTGCCAGCAGAACCCGCTGAGCTGAGGCAGTGACATCTTCCTCTGGTACTTTCAGGTGGGAGAAACGTGTGGATCCTCGAGGCAGGTATTACTATGTGGACCACAACACCCGCACCACCACATGGCAGCGCCCCACGGCTGAGTACGTCAGGAGCTATGAGCAGTGGCAGTCCCAGCGAAACCAGCTCCAAGGAGCCATGCAGCAGTTCAGCCAAAGATTCCTGTACCAGGTGAAAGCAGGGGTGGTGGTGTTGGGGTCTCACCCACCTCTCCCACCAGTCTCACCCAGGCTGGCCTTTGAGACATGGAGCATGAGGAGGTGCTTGTTGGGCTGTGTTAGAGCCCGCGAGCTCCTCTGCATGTGGAGATCTGTTTGGGATTAACTTTCCTTTTTATAAAGCAGCTTGCATGGCCCTGAAGGGTGGTGGGAGGTGTCCTCAGCAGCTTGTCCCCAGTGACCCTGCAGTTCCAGCATGGCTGGGCACACACTTTCTCCTGACACCTCTCACGATTTCTTTCCATCAGGCAAGCCTTGCTGCTGACCTGTGGGGCTTGTGGAACTTGCTGTGTGCTGTTGGAGCTGGGCATGTGCTGAGGAAGCCATGGGAGCCTGATCTGTAGTGGGAGAGAAGGCTATTGGGGCTGAGCTTGTCCTGCCCCTATTCTCTATTGGGCTAAGGACAGTATGGTTGGGTCCTGACTACAGTCAGCAGCACGACCATGGTACACGTGCTGACATGGTGAGTGAGGGCTGCAAGAGCCTGGTGATCAGAGAGTGCAGGGAACAAGTACTGCTGGGCTTGGCAAGCTTCTCCTGCTCTCTCTGCTTCCCCTTGCTCCTGGTGAGGGCTGAGTAGCTGTGCTTCCTTGCTTGGGGAATGGACCCTCTACAGCCCTGCAGGGCAGTAGTTCCTGGGCAGGGACCTCTCTTGTCCTGGCCTTGGCTTTGCTGCTGGAGCTGGGACCTGGCTTCCAGTGGTGGCGAGCACCTTCTGAAACCGGCGCGGTGCTCGTGGCTGTCGTGCTGCAGGGAGCAGTGGTTGGGAAAGAGCCAGGCTGGAGCGTTTCCACCTCCCAGCGCAGTGATGTCCCAGTGCTGTCCGTTGTCACCTGGGTGAAAAACATGGCCCTTGCCAGGAGGCAGAGCTCTGTCAGGGCAGGTCTGGGGTGAAGGTGGGCAGAGCAGAGTGACCAGCTTCTCCTCGGAGTTTAGCTCATCTTGGAGGAAGCCAGGAGGCTGCCATGTCCCAGCAGTGCTGCTGAGCTCTGTGCTCTCGTGACGAGCTCGGATGCTCTTTGGGTGGGGGTGCAGCCAGAGCAGTTGTGCAAAGTCCATTCTGCTTGAGACACAACCGGGGCTGCTCCTGAGGGTGCAGGAAGCTGCTCTGCCCCTCTCCTTCCCCTACCTGTCTTTCTGGACAGCTCACAGCCCTTCCCAGCCTTGCAGTGGGAGCAGGACTGTCACAGCTCTGCTGCCTGCTGCCAGCCTGTGCCCCTCAGTGCAGAGGGGCTTCCACTGAAGGCTGAACAGGACTTGGGTCTGTCGCTCACTCCCATTTCCACCAGCGCCAGCCTTGGAGCTGCTCCAGCGCTGTGCGACTCACCCTGGCCAGACTCCGCGGAGAGCAGAGGGAGGGACTCACACTCCAAATTTAGCCTGATGGAACGATTGTACTTTTTGTTTCAAGCTGTCTCTGCCAGTGGTGATGGCTTCAGCTTTGCCTCCTTCTCCAAGGGGCTTTCTGCGTTGCCATTCCTCCCATCTCCAGCATCCACCTGCCTTCCTTGCTGGGAAAGGAAGGTGGGGAGGTGATGGATGAGCAGTGCTGCAGCCCTGGGCAGTGCAGAGCACTCTTCACACAGCCCCTGGGGGGACCCTTGGCCTGGGGGGCTGGGGTGCAGCCGGGCACCACTCTGCCACCTCGATGACACAGGGCTTCCTGGGCTGTATCTGGACGCAGCATCTCTTGTACTGAGCGGTCTTGCTGGCACCAGGGGCCAGGTTGTTCCCAGAGGCTGTGGAGAGCTGCAGGAGGGCTGGATCCCCAGACCTCTGTCCCAGGCTCATGCCCCTACTCTGTTAGCTTTAGTTAGCTGGTTTAAGGTCACAGTGAGGTGATACCTCTGGACATGGCTCAGCTGTGGCTCTGGCCCGCCTGTCT